CTTTTCTCTGCTTTTATCTTGTAATTAATTTCTAGCTTTATAGCATTATGATCAGAAAAGAAACTTGTTATTATTTCAATCTTCTTAAATTTATTGAGGCTTGCCTTGTTTCCCAACATATGGTGTATTCTTGAGAATGTTCCATGCACACTTGAGAAGAATGTGTATTCTCCTGTTTTTGGATGGAGTGTTGTATATACGTCTGGTCTAGCTTTTCATTTAATTCCACTGTTTTCTTGTTGATTTTCTGTCTAGATGATCTGTCCATTGATGTGAGTGGAATGTTGGGATCTCCTATTATTGTGTTATTATGAATGTCTTCTTTTAGGTTTGTTAATAGTTGCTTGATGTACTTGGGTGCTCCTGTGTTGGGTGCATAGATATTTATGTGTTATTTCTTCTTGATGGAATGTTCCTTTCATCATTATATACTGCCCCTCTTTGTCTCTCTTTACTTGTTGTATCCTGAAGTCTACTTTGTCTGATATAAGTATCGCAAAACCTGCATTTTTTTTTTGTTTGTCTTTAGGTTGGAGTATCATCTTCCACGCCTTCACTCTGAGCCTGTGTTTGTCATTGCATCTGAGTTGTGTTTCCTGGAGGCAGCATATTGTTGGGTCTTGTTCTTTAATCCATCTCACCACTGTGTCTTTTTATTGGAGAATTCAATCCACTTATGTTTAGGGTGATTATTGATATATGAGGGCTTAGTGCTGCCATTTTATCATTCATTTTCTGGTTCTCCTGAATTTCCTTTGTTTCTCACCCTGTGTATTTTGGTCTACCAGTAGAGTCATGTAGTTTTTTATGTTGTGTTTCTTTATTTTCTCCTTAGTTATTATTTGTGTCTCTTTTCTGCTTTTTTGTTTAGTGGTTATCCTGAGGTTTGTATTCAAGATCTCGTGGATAAGGTAGTGCCTTTTCTGATGGCCTCTAATTTGCTTAGACTAAACTGATTCAGTCCCTTTCCTCTTCCCTTCCTAAGTTGTTTTTCTCACATCTTATTCCATCTTGTGTTATGAGTTTGTAGTTAAAATGACAAAATTATCTTTGTTTTTGGTGTTTTCCTTCCCTTCATCTTTAATGCTATATTTGAGTATTTGCTAGCCTGCTCTGATGCTGTCTACCTATTTAACTCCTTACTCTGTAGCTTTGTAACTCCTTTCTCCCTTTTTTATTCTTATGTATGAGGGCCTTCTGGAGGATTTCTTGTTGGGGGTGGGGCTCGTGGCTACCAACTCCCTTAGCTTATGTTTGACTGGGAAAGTTTTTATTTTGCCATCATATCTGAAGGACATTTTCATTGAATAGAGTATTCTTGGCTGAAAGTTTTTGTTCTTCAATGATTTGAATATGTCATTCCGTCTCTCCTAGCCTATAAGGTTTCTGCAGAGAAATCTGCTGAAAGACTGATAGGGGTTACTTTGTAGGTTATTTTCTTCTGCCTTGCTGCCCTTAGTATTCTTTCTTTGTCATTCAGTTTTTCCAGTTTCACTACTATACGCCTTGCAGTAGGTCTTTTTACATTGACATATTTAGGAGTTCTGGCAGCCTCTTCCACATGGATTTCCTTCTGTAGGTTTGGGAAGTTCTCTGCTAGTATTTCTTTGAACAAGCTTTCTACTCCATTCTCCTTCTCCTCACCTTCTTGAATACCTATAGCTCTTATGTTGCATTTCCTAATTGGGTCGGATAGTTCTCAGAGACTTTCTTCATTTCTTTTTAGTCTTAGTTTTCTCTCCTTCTCTCTCTGGAGCATTTCAACATGTCTATCTTCGATTATGATGATATCCTCCTCTATGGTGTCTGCTAGAGCATTCAGGGAATCCATATTTTGTTGTATTTCTTCCATTGTGTCTTTAATCTCTAATATTTCTGCTTGATTCTTCTTTATAGTTTCAATCTCTTTTGTGAAGTAGCTCCTGAACTCATTGAATTGTTTCCCTACATTGTCTTTTACCTCATTGAGTTTTCTGATGATAGCTGTTTTGAATTCCTTGTTATTTAGATTACACATTTCTGCATCCTCAGGACTTATTTCTGGATACTTGTCATGTTCTCTCTGATCTGGAGATCTAATATAGTGTTTGACATTGCTAGAGGGAGTTCTGTTCTTTCGCATCCTGGTGTTATTTGGTTGCAGTTACTGCATATCACCACTGGGTGGGGGTAAAGAGACATATACTCTGAGCCCTCTGCTTTCAGTCAAAATCCCAGGGGCTGGAGCAGCACTGAGCGGGTGGGGGGAGGGGTGCCTTCTCCTGCATGCTCTTGGGGTTTTCTCCCTCTGCTCTCCTGGGGTGTTGGCTTGATAAGGTCATCCCCCATGAAAGCTTTTGCCCCAGTAGAGGGCTTCTGTCTAGGCTGCAAGGTCTCTTGGGAGTCCTTGATGTTCCCACAAACGAACATCCCCTCCCTTGTTCCTTCCCTCTCAGAGGCATCCGGTGGTCCTGGATCACAGTCTTTAAGGAGAGGGAGCAAAGATTTCTCTTACCCTATTCCACCTTCTCCAAGGAGGGCTCTAGTCTCTTTGCCCTCCATCTATGGCTGCATGGGTTTCTCCAACATTTTTTTTGTTGTGTTTGGGTGTCCTCTGTTGGATCATGGATTTTTGTTGTTGTTGTTTATTGGAGGGGAAAGATTTCTGAGAGACCTCACTCCACCATGATGCTGATGTCACTGACTATTTATGCTACTTTTTGGGGAGGGGGGTGTCTGATACAAGAGACCACAGGATCAATCTCTTATTAGAATAGAAGCTCTTTGAATACAGGAAGAGATCTTAATCATTACTGTTTCTCCTATATTCACCAGCAAACAGAACTTGGGATACCAACTGAATGAAGACATGTTTAAATGAATGAGCAGCATCTGAGACAAAGTCTTACCCTCAACTCCTCATCCTTAAGAATGTATTTTAAGATCTATTAAAATTTTTATCATGGCATTCTCTCTCTGTAAGTTTATATTCTCCTCTTCTCTTTTCCTATTTAGAATTCCATATTTAAAGTTTACTAGTATCATAAAGAAAGAGAAAAGGTGAGGTACAAACTGGGAGAAGATATTTTCCACAAGTATAACCAAATAGGATTAATATCCAGAACAAATAAATCATTCTTACAAATAAATTAGAATTAGAAAAACAATTCAAAAGAAAAATTGTCAAAAAACTTGAAGAGGCATTCCATGGGAGAGAAAGCACAAAGTGCCAAAACACTTTGCAAAGATGCTCAAAGTCATTAGTAAGTGGGAAATACAAATTAAAACCACAAATATGTCATAAACAACAGATTGGCAAAAATTCCAAAACCTGACAATATCGAGTGCTGACAAAGTTGTAGAACAATGGCACTCTTATTTACTACTAGAATGAGTAAAAATTGGAAGAACCACTTTGGAAAACAACTTGGCATTTCAGACCAGAGTTGAAAGTATGCATGGCCTATGACCCAACAATTCTACTGTTGGGTGTAGCCTGAGAAACTCTAGCAAAGATGCAATGAGGAGTGTGTGCAAGAATATTCATAACAATACTTTTATAATGGAAGCCATCCAAAGTCTGCCAACAGTGCAGTGGACTAACAACTTGAGGTTTTTCATACAACAGAACACTATCCAGCATTGAAGATGAATAAACAGCTGTATGCAACAAGAAAATGACCCTCAGGAACATAATGTTGGGTGAAAAAAGCAAATTATAGAAGAATACACATATTATGATCCTATTTACTGAAAGTTCATAAAGGATTCATTTTTAGAGATAGAAACATATGTGGTAAAACTATGAAGAACAATAAGAGAAAGATAAGCAAAAATTCAAGATAGCAGTTACCTATGTTTAGCGCAGAAAGGAGAGGTGATCAGGATAAGACATACGGATCTTTAATGGAAATGCTAATGGCCTATTTCTTAAAAGACATAGCAGGCATACATTCATTATATTGTTATTCTTTACACTGTATACATTTTTCAAATATTCTTTTGTGTGCACCCAATATTTAATAAAAACAACTTTTAAGAGTTGGTGAAGAAGCAAATGACAAAAAATATTTTATCCAAGACTTGTAGGAAGAAGAAAATAAGAGTGCAAAAACATGCCAGCCATAAGGTCCTGGCAGTCTTTCCTTCTAAACATGCCATACTGACTGGTCTACTTGTCTCTGGTCCCTCTTTGCTCGCCAATCCAAAACCAACCAGAGCTGTCAGCTAACAGTTGTCCCAGGTTGGAGGAAAGTTTCATGATGTTCATCCAAAGCAGCAGCCAAGCTTTCCTCTCTATCTGTCACCCTATCCCTCATTAAAATTCAGGCCTCCTCCAGGTGTGAATGACAAGCACATTAGCCTCTTCACGCACGTGCACACGCGCATCCCATCCCTGCAGCTTGATTGGGTTATTATTATATCCAAATATTACTGAAAGCCATGATTACCTGACTCCGTCTTTAATTTGTTCTCTAATATTTGTACACATTTCATCATGATAATAGAGCACTATATTTAAAACAAAGCATCTCCTGGTCCTCCAATCAAAACCTGAAATCTGAAAACGCTCCTTGAAACACACACACTTGTCTATGCTCCTCCAACTACAACCACGTAGCAACAGCCCCTTAAACCAAAAGTAAAATTTAAAGTGAATGGTGCAGCTATTGTCAGTACAGCACTTGAGAAAAAAATAAACCTAGGTCCAGGAAATCTGACTCCTCCCCTTGGTAGGTCATTACTGATAAGAAAACATCCATCTCCCCAAGGCCCACCTGCCCGTGGATGAGGAGGAAGGAAGCTCTATTTTCAATATCATGAACATTTTTATAATCGTTTTCATATCAGTTACTACAGTGAGATCGGGCTCTTTCAGCAGGAACATCCCAACAGGAAAAAAAATCAGACTGGTAGAAAAAAATTCTTCCAAATGACCCATCTGGATGAGTCCATCATTCAGCCCCCTGAAGTTTACTGAAGACCTAGGTAGTAGCTGCCGTAAAAATACAATCACTTACCTCAGCATATTGTGCTACTGAACTGGCTTCAACTGCATACACTCTCCTAGCTCCGGCCTGTACAGCAAAAAATGACAGTATTCCTGAACCACAGCCAACATCCAGAACAATCTGGAAGGAAAGAAGACAAAAAAGGGGTGAAAAACTCAAACAGGTGCTTGGGTGGGGGCACCAGGCCAACTTTGGGCATTGAGATCAGACTTAAGTACCAACGTGGATATTTACACGTGGTCTTACCTTGGCCAAGTCACAAATCTCTGTGAGATTCCTGTTTCTCGTATTTTAAATGGGGCTAATAATATCTACTTTTTAAGGTTTGCTGTAGGGATGAAGTAATATGAAGTGTATACAAAGCACTTGGCACGTAATTGGTGGTTTTCAAATTGTTGCTATTATTATTATAGTTTCTTTGTAACCTGGATTGCTTTTAGGATGTTTGGGGCCAAAAAAAAAAAAACACTAGAGTGTCATGAATGACACTGTCAGCATGAACAAAATGAAAACCGTCTCAAATAATTTTTAGAATTTTATATTATACATATATAATTATGTATATATATTCAGAAATAACTGAAGATAAAGTTTTCAAAAATCCAAAAGTGAGGTATGTGGGTTTTTTCCAGACCCCCTTCAAAGTTGGGGAGGTTTATATGGAGGGTAGGGGAGTATTAAGGCAGTGGACAGATGGAATTCACAGAAACTTTTCTCCTATTCTCTGTGTTCAGACATGGGACTTCAATCAAGAAAACCACCATCCACTGGCACAGACAGGCCAACACCTGGACCCACATGCTGAGAGGGAAGAGGTGGATGGTACGGTATTGGGCCCCTCTCCCCAAACACTGCTGAAGCTGAGGCCTGAATCTCAGGCTTATCGTTGAAATTCCAGGTTCCTGTATTTCTGTCTCATCAGTGACTTTTATTCTTAGCATCTTTTAGCACTAGCTTTGAGCAAGGCATTTTGCCTAAGTCCTCAAATAAACCTATGAGTAGATACCATTATTATGCCCACTTCATAGACGACAGAACTGAAAATCAGACCCGTTGAACAAACAGCCTGAGTTCACCTAGCAGGAAGTAGGCAGTTGAAACTGGACGCTTCTGCCTTCCAAGCTCATGTTCCATAAAATCATGCATTGCTTGCTTAAGTTCATGTTTATAAACCTCACATTTTAACACAGCAATACCAATCGACAGGCAATGTTTGACAAGGAAACAAAGCATTACTTTTCGTAAGAAATTTTTTTGCTTTTTTTTACTTTGATAGCAGGAAAAATTTTCCAAAAAATAGGAAATTTCAAGAGATTGTGCTTGTGTGTGTGTTTTAACTGCAATATCACAGCGTGCTGACACAGATACTGTGCCATTATTCTAGGAGAACATGCTGTTAGTAATGGGTTCACAGCGCTCACTTATATTAATTCTAGAGCTGTGGCTGTATTCCATATGGTTTCCTGGGGTTTAGGTAATTAGGAGCATTACCAAATTAAAATGTCATCCGGTCTCTGGAATTTGCTGTCGGGAATTTGCTGACTAAAATTGGTATTTTAGAAATACCAATATTCACTTCTCTTCATTCTCCCTAGGAAATACAGCATCTTCACACGGCCCTGGTCCATTGCAAGAACGTCCATGAGTGCTGATTTGGGAGTGGAGGCCATTAAATTGGAGAGCGTAATCCATGGCCCCTTAAAAGATGTACCACATCCAAAAGAAGCTTTCCGGAGCACTCTTCAATTGAAAATATAACACCGTAGATTCCACGTTCAGTCCAAAATATGTACGCAAAATTAAGAGACAATGGAAATTGCACCTGCTTGCTCTGATAACAAGTGCCCTAGAAATGCGTGAATGGAGCTCTGTGTCTTTTTTATGAGGGTGTCGTGAAATACATCCTAGGGCAGTGTTTCCTGCAGACTAAAAACCAAGCAAATGTTTTCCCACTAGGAGATACACAGAGGAGAAAGGGAATAGGGAGAAAGAGAAAACAGACAGAGACAGGAGGGAGCCTGATGTGGTTAAACTTTTGCCAAATTAGTCTATTTGATAGGAAAATGCCTTGATAGACCCGGACCATGTCCAGAGAAGAGGTAAAAATTTACAAACTGAGGCCATTTTCCAAATGCCTTATTTCAATATCTAATTTCAAGCCAAAATAACCTTACTCATTTGGCTATTTCAAAACAGAGCATAGACCTTGAAAAAGAATCCAATCTTTTGCTAGCATTATCCAGTTAATGCCATCTGCCTCCTGCTTATGTGTATATTTCAAAAGTTAACAAGTGAATTTTCAGTCTGGGGCCAGTAGGGGAGGGTGTGGAGTGGGAGGGACATTTTGCCTTAGCTACATAAGTCACACAACGTTGGAAACAGAGCTGTGGAGGGCAGAGAATAAACTCTCTGGTGAAAAGCCAACAGTCAAAGCAAATATTTAGCCCTAATAGAAACAGACGACCTCAGCCCTTTCCAGCTGGGATTTCCAAGACTAGGAGAAGAGAGGACATTAACACAGATAATTCTGTTACACTTTCCTCCATGGCACCTCTGGAAGCCTTGGAGCTACCTCTAATCATATTTTCTTGTTCTCACAGAAGATTATATTGAGCTCATTTTTTATTCCACCCTTAGTAGACCGTCACAGAACTGGGTATCTTTGAGGACCTTGGCAGACATGAAGTTATACGTTCACGCCCTAGGAAAAAATATCTCCCCTCAGGCAGACGCAAAGAGAGTAATAAAATCCCCTTGTATCTGTAAAGCAGTTTATAGTTTCCAAAGCCTGTTCCTCTGATGCTGTCTTCCTGATCTTCATGCCTCCCTGGGATGGAGAGTACATAGTTTGCTCCCCATTTTATTGATAAGGAAACTGAGGCTTGGAGAGACTGTTTCCAGTCAAGGTGACATGGCTGGTAAGTGGCATCGCTGGGATGAGAATCCAGCGCTCAGCTCTCTGCATCATCATGGCCCTCTTTTTGTGTAGCAAAGAACGAGAGGAAAGGGTGGACTGTGAGGAGATGTACATCTGATCATATCACACCCTGAGTAAACACCCTCAATGGTTCCAGACAGCTAGAGGAAAAGGCTTGGTCTCTGGGGTATGTTGTCCCTGGGCCTGAGCAGTCTGGCAATGACTGACTTTTCTGTCCTCTTTTTCTGTAATTCTCATCTACCTTCCTCCCATACACCCTGGGCTCAGCAACCGTGTCCCTTTCCTTGATTCTAGGCTCCCTCATGTGCAATCCTTTGTGGGAGAGGCAGGTAACAGCCTAGCAAAGGTTCATGCCCTCTCAGAGCAGAGTTGTGGGGAAGTAGTTGCCCAGCCAGGACTACACTGCCCCACCCCCTTGCATCGGCAGACGGTCAGGTGACTAGTTCTGGCCAATAGAATATGAGAGGAAGTAATGGGAGTTGCTTCCGTGTTAAGGTGGTTCAGGGTCTAGGGTACCTTCCACACAGTCTCTGATCCTTATGCAGTGGCACTGGAAACCACCCAGTAAAGGTGAAAAGACACTGAATCCCTAGGTCACCACTTTGGGAAGAGCCACTGAGAAAATACTGGACATAGCATGAGCAAGAAATAAATTTTATTATGTTAAACCACTGAGATTTAGGGATCATTTGTTTTAGTAGTTGGCATACACTGACCAACACATTTCCCCAGGGTGAAATCCCTCCTCTCATTTTTTCCCTGGTAAACTCAAGACCCAGCTCAGATATCACAACTCAGGGGCACTTCCCCTGACTTCCTCAGACAGTCAGTCTAGGTTGGGCTCTCTGGCACCTGGTACACAGCCCTCTAACAGCACTTATTACAGGATATTGCAAGCAGGTCTTTCCATGTTTATCTTCTCTGCATAGCCTATGAGCTCCTCAAAGACAAGAATTACATCATTTATCTCTCAGCACCTAGCACAGTGGGAAATATAAAAACCATAATTAGTATTTATTTACTAAATGACAAAATGGGATGACTCAATATGGTAGTCTCCTAATTCCAACATCACCTTGAAATAACTCTGAAAAAGGCTTATGATTTTTGCCAGCCATTTGGACTCTGGGAGTGTTCTTGCATCACAAAGCTGGCACTCAGAAAGGACGAGCTCAAGATGCCCTTGCCTTACTCAAGACTTATATCCTGAACTGCTTCACCCAACCCTGTCTTCTGCTTTCTGGCCTATTATTTCTTGGCCTCCAAGTCACCTCACAGACCTGACCCTTTATACTCTGTCTCTTTTCATGATCTCTGACCCTCCTCTTTGACTGTGATCTGAACATGTCCCTTGGGTCACTCTTCTGACTATTTGAGGTTGCTTTCTGCCCTGACATAGACCTTCTTGGAAAGTTCCATGCTCCTTTCTGCCACAGGGCCTTAGTATATATGTATATACTGCTTCCTCTTCTTGGGGTACTCCCCACTGTACACTTGATGATATCAGTCTATGGTAATTATTTTTTTACCTACCCAATGCCCATTGCACTAGATCTTTTCTATTTGCTCCTCCAGATCTCTTCTCCACTCTTCTCCATAGTGCTATTTGTGAGGAGACTGACCTATGTGGACTGTATCAATGGGCTTCCTTGCCATTGGATTCTAGTTGGGATCAGTGAAGAGAAAAGACAACAGGAGGTCAGAGGGAGTGAGGACAGATGGTTTATTCTCCTGGCTTCCTCCTTCCTGGGTCTCCACAGATTGGCTGTGTCCCCTCTACCAAAAGCCACAGCTCTCGTTGGGCCTCCGTCTCCTACAGCTGTGACCATTCTCCCAGGTTTCCAGTAACCACTCCTTCCCTTTGCCCCTTTAGGCCTAGGGTGTTAACAGGTCCCCACTCTTGCTAGTGCCAGCATGCTTCACCATCCATGTTGGTTCCCTTAACTTTGCCCACATCTTGGTAAATAGTCCTGTTATTTAACTCTCCTAAAACACCCTGTTGGGTGTACCATCTCTCTCCTGCAGGGACCCTGGCTGATATATCAACTCGTCCTTCAGATCCCAAACAACTCTCCATCAGGGAAGACTTCCCTAATCTTTGCTCCCCTCCTGGACTAAACAAAGTCCTTCTCTTGTATGCTTTCTTATCATCACTTCCTCATACTCTTCCTTCCTAACACTC